CCAAATCTTCCACCTGAAAGGGAAGAGTTAAGAGTGGATAAGGGAGAGAGAGAGAGAGAGAGAGAGAGAGAGAGAGAGAGAGAGAGAGAGGTTTTAAAAAGATAACATTCACATAACATAAAATTCTCCATTTTAAGTGTACAATTCAGTGGTTTTTAGTACAATCACAATGTTGTATAATCATTACTACTATTTAATTCCAGAACATTTTTATCACCCGCCAAACCTCATCAACTACATCTATTAAGCAGTCACACCCCATTTCCCCCTCCTATCCTCCTCTGGAATACACTAATCTACTTTCTGTCCCTATGGACATGTCTATTCTGTCCGTTTCACATAAATGGAATTATACACTATGTGACTTTTGTTTCTGGCTTCATCGGCTTTCACGGGGAGTTCTTAAACCATTCCAAAAAGGCTCTAATTCCAAGGATTCCAGGTGCTCACGGTTCATGACCTTTCCGGGGTGTACCTAGTTTCCACAGAGTTCACGTATATGATGATATTCTAGTTTTCTGATTGCCTTTTGAGCACATAAAAATGGATTATAATTGGAAGTACAAATCATCATCTCTGGAATATGTGAAGTTTCTGAAGTGGGTGAGAATAACTAAGAACAGAGGAGAAAAATTCTTGATTTAACCATAACGTCTTAACAGTGACATGTGCCCAGGTTAGATTTTTCTCTTGGTACCAGTGACATTTAAGCTATTCTGGAAGGCTGGGAACATCAAGGCATTTTTAGTATCTCAAAGCCTTTAATAAGTGCTTTGCACATGTGAAGTGTTTTTTAAAAACTGAGCTTAACATGAGAAACCACAAGTAGGCTGATTCATCACCAGATCTCATGTTGACATTCACGGAATGATTTCAGAGCTAAGTTTGTGCTCCGTAAGTCAGTTCTTGGGAGTTTTAGCTTAGTTGTCATACAGTTGTACTCCAAAATGTGAGTCTTTCGGGTGTTTGTTGTGTCTGCATGATGCAGAAATTCATACATAGGGAATTAAGCAGAATGTCTTAGCTTTCAAAAGGTGGGCCAAGGATTGGTGCACTGTGCGTGAAACGGGGTGCCGAGTTTATAAAAAGGCTAAAAACATCTACATAAAATAGAAAGGTGTTGGAATCCAAAAGCTCTTGGTCTCATCCTGTCCTCTCTCAGTCACACGTAAGAAAAGTCTTTAATTAGTACAAGTATGGCACAGAAACCCTTGAGTAGCTTTTCTATAAAATAAGTGGCTAGAAGTCCCAATGTGGCAGAGATCTGGTCTTATTCTTTACTGCTGTGGTACCTGTGTCTAGAACAGGACCTGGCCTGACTAGGAGCTCCAAAAATGTCTAGTGTATGAAGGAACACATGAATAAACCTGGTGCCCTCTCATGTGACCCTGTGACAACCAAGTTGTCACTGAGCGAAGCCACTGTGGGGAAATAACAATGGCGATTAAAATGATTACCACCAGATTTCTGCTTTTGGCAACAGCAGAATAGCTTGTGATTGGAACGGAAACAACTATAAAAGCTAAATAACACCCATCGCATCCGTTTATAGGCATTGGGGAGCAAGCCATGCAGGGGGAACCCAAGGTGTTGCAGTCCCTGCAGGAAGGGAGGGAAGCCCCTGCGGTGAGCTCCACTCATGCTGACTTCCGGAGGGCACAGCAAACTCACAGCCCAGGGAAGACAGCTCCTAGCACAAAGCAGCGATCCCACTTGATTGAGAGACAAAGGCTGGAGTTCGGGTTGCCAAAGTTGCGAGAATCTGTGGGGCAAAATCCCAGAGAGTGGAAAACCTCAGGGAAGTGAGCCTGAAATGCTGCTCCACTGTCTCCTTGAGGTGTTTGTCGATCTAGCCCACACGCACAAGGTGAGACCCCCCAGAAACCCAGCAAACAGCAGCAGCTGGGAGCTTTTAGTAGCTTCTGGTGCTGAGAGATAGTGGTTGGAGGTCAAAGCCACCAGGGTGAAGTTGCCCTGATAAACCCCTGGCTTTTAAGTGGAGAACCCAGAGAGGCTGTGGGCCAGGAAGAAGGGCAGAAACCGAAACCAGCCCAAAGTCTAAAATCAACGTTCAGTAGGATGAAGGGGATCCGCCTGTAATCGAACTACCTGGGGGAGAAAACCTAACTATCTTAGGACAAAGATAACATGCAGAGCCTCTACAATCCGTAATACACAACGCATAGTGGTCAGCCAAACTGTGAGGCATCCTAAAATACAGGAGCCAATGAATGAAAACCAAAAGAAAATATATATGAACAAAAACAATCAGTAGGGAGTAATTCAGACATTGGATTTATCAGAAAGGAACCTGAAAATTATTTTAATGTGTTCAAGAACGTTACAGAGAAAAAGATCAAGAATTT